ATTTAAACGAATTTTTGCACCAATTTTTATTGGAAAGCAATCTCTTCCATACAGAAGTAGTTGGGGGGAATCTCTCTACAGTTTACACGATAAATCTATTGATCACGGAAATTTTTTGGAACTGATATATTGCTGATAGCAGAGTTTGACATTCCTCTTAATAATCATATAAAAAAAGCTATTTAGGCAAGTCAAAAAAAAGGAAAGATTGTTTAATACGTAAAGGAAAGGAAGCTCACGTGGACGTGGAGGTTTGGTAACAATGTTGTCAAAGACTACAGTTAACAATATTCTAGCTGCTATTTCAAACTTGATAAAGAATTGTATAATTAAGGAAATTGGTGATTAGAAATTCAGAGTTTAAATAGATGGTTGTCAAGATACGTCGGTGATTGATCAGGAGACAATAATCTTATGATATGTACTTGAAGAGGACGTGAAAGAGGGATTATTTGCGATAAAAAAAATTACTGATACAACAGGTGCAGGACTATACCAACTATTGAAATCAGAGCTTGAACACAATGGTATAAAAATGGAAAAAACTGTGGGTAAATCCTTTGATGGAGCAGCAAACGTGCGTGGTGAATATCATGGAGTTCAACGTTACATTAATGATGTTTCACCAAATGCTTTATACATGTGGTGCTACGTGAACGTTCTAAATTTGTCCGCAACAGATATTGTGGAAAATATATTAGCTGTCAAAAATTTAATTGGTCTCTTGCAGAGTACAGCAACTTACTTTGGCGATTCTTGCAAACAAATCAACGTTTGGACGGATATTCACATTGGACAAGGAGATGGATCTGCGAAACTGAAAAGACTGCAAAAAATTGGTGAAACACGTTGATGGTCGAAGCAGATGGCGCTTGAACGAATTTTTAGAACTTATGATGCTCCACTAGTGGAATTGTTCTATGCTCTTTTGCAAATTTTTAATTGTATTAGAATGTCTTCAAGATTCGATGCAAAATTAACATTCGAAGCCACAGCACTACATAACAAAGGGTGTCAATTCGATGTGTTTCTTTCAGCCTTTCTTCTTCTACGAGTGTACACCGTTTTGTGACAAGCATCCGAATATTTGCAAACAAGAGGTCTGGATTATTTAAGTGCTTGGAATATGGTAGAGTCAGCAAAACAAGAACTGCAGCCAATATCGTTCAAAGATGTGCATTCCAAGACAATTGCATTTGTTAAAAAAATCAACACCCACCTAGATGCTAGTGAACTTGATTCAGAAGTTGAAACAGAATTGCGTGTAGAACGAGTTCACCGAAAGAAACGTATGGCAGGGAAACTTGCCTTTAATGACATACCAGAGAATCTTCTTGATCGTTTCAGAATAGATGTTTTCCGTAGAGTAATTGATCAGATTACCACTAGCATAGGTAAACGTTTCTCAGTTAACAGGGACATCATTAGAGACACTGCGTGTTTAGATCCCAGACATTTTAAAGAAATTGTTGAAAATGGTATTCCAGGAAACAGTCATGCAAAAATTTCTCAACTAACTAATCTTTGCTCTGAAAGATTGAGATCTGAATTGCATAGCATTACTATAAACTTTGATAGGCTCTCAAAAACACTCTGAGATGAATTTACCGTGAGTCCTTGTGATAAAGATTCGAAGAATCGAATTGGATACTTCAACAAAAGCAACTGAAAATGAGAATGATAGAGATTTTCAGAACTTTGAGCTTTGAGTAAGGGTCTTGTAATAAATGTTTAAAATGTTGCTATAATATTTTATACAAATATTCGTTGAATGCGATTGCTTATTCAAATCTGTTTCTGGCTTACAAATATCTATTAACACTTTCATTTTCACAAGTGATCTGTGAACGGGGCATTTAGTAAATTAAAAATTGTCAAAACTAGGCTGTGTTCCTCATTATGTAACGACAAGCTTGAAACATTTATGCTGATGTCAACCGAGAAGGACATTTTGGATTCAATTGCAGTTGAGGACGTAATTGGCTATTTGTGTAAGGATTTTGTAGAGTTATCAAAGATGTTGCTTCTCTAAATTACATTAGGAGGTTGTAGTCATTTACAGTATAAATGCCAGATAAACCACAGGGTCCATTTTTATTTTTTATTTTTTATCTTAAATGATTTAAAAAGAGGTTTATTATTCATTTATCATAATAAATTCATCGTGTTATTATTATTATTATTGTTATTATGGCTATTATTATTATTGCTATTATTGCTATTATTATTATCATTATTATTATTATCATTATCTACATAATTATCATGTATATTTCATACATAAGTAAAATAACATACTGAATTATATTGTAAGCCTGAATGAACTTTGAACTTTGAAAGTGTAACATTATTTTACCTATTCATATTCAAATTAAAAAGACCTCTATATAAACACTAGCCTATTTTCTACCCCAATCCCGACCTTGTAGCGCCCCTCCCTCTTCCCTTCCCGGTAGGATTTGAAGCCCCAGTCCGCGCCTGGCTATATTCTTAAATGTTTGGTTTATAATAATAGTGGTCAAAATAAAATTAGTTTTAAAGTTTATGTGTCGCCTTGGAATCGATATAATCGATGTTCGATGTAATCTTTGTTGTCGAGATCGTCTGTTTTTCAGATAATTTTTTGTTTGTCCACAAAGTAAAAGTAAAAACAATAAACCATTTCACACAAAGATAAAAATTTGAATTGAATTTTTTTTTGACAAGTAAAAATTTTTATTGAATTAAATTGAAATTGAAATAGGTTTCAGAACTGGAGCAAACTTCAAACATGAGTATGTTATGCTTTATCAAATGAGGATGCATTGTGAAGATTTGCATTGATTTAAGCCTGAAAACTAAAGTACCCAAAACGTATGTACCCCACTCTAAATGTGAGAAAAATGAGTTACTGAGTGTCATAATTTTACTGATATAAACTGAGATTATATTCGTCAATAGATATTAAATTTCATTTAAGAATAATTAAGTTTTGTAACTCTATTATTTTGGGTGTTTGGAAACTTTACTTTTAGAAACTAAATTTTTTTTTCAGTTTTTGGATATTAAAGAATTATATAAAAACTTGCATCAATTACTTCATGTTTTTTATTTCAACATTACTTCTTTTATAAGTTAACAATTTTAATTAAATATAACATTTAATATTATTTTAGACACAAATAATCCATATTTAAAAATAAACATAATTGAAAAACTGCATTTTATTTTTTGAAGTCTAATTTCGTGTTTTTAGGTTGGCATTTAAAAAACTAATAAAAAATTAGGTCAATAAAAATTAGATTAAGCTGAAAATTAACTAGAAAATTAATTAGTACATATTCGTTATTTCAATCTTCTCTAACCAGTAAAATGAATTTTACAGTCCTTTTATATTTTCAATTGAAAGATGTTTTGATACTAGCAACAGTAACTAGCAAAGAACAAAATAAGAGCTGTAAGGTAGATTCGGGTAATATGAGCATACCAAAAAATGGCTATGATGTGAGCAGTGCAGTTCAAGTTGCTTTGTATTTTTTAAATCGCCTTTTTGTGGTGATCAAAGGAAGCAGTATAATTAGCGTAAATTTATAAGCAATAATTATCTGCTTATAAAATTTTTTGTGTTGTTTAAATATCATAACACATAAAAGAATATTTGGCGCGTAATTTTGATGTTGTAGTATTGATATTTTTTTTTATAAATAAAAATAGTTTAGCTAGAAATACGTTGCCTTTTTTGTTTGGAAAACAATCCATAGAAATATTTATTTTTGACTTTATTTAAAGATACTATTTTTGTGTAACGAGAGCATGCTTATATTGTCCAATGTTTTTTATTAAAACTATCTAGTTTAAAGTCCTAAAGTTGCATTGGTTTTAATAGCTTTTTTAATTTTCATTTTAATTGGTTTTAATAAAATATAAATTTTTGCTCAAAGACTTCATAAAACCCTTATATATCTTATATATTTTTAAAAACTTTCTAAGAAAATGTTTGTAACTGAGAAACTAAGAAACTGTTTGTAACTGTATTTATTTGCAAAAATTTAAGAAAATTATTTTGTAGTTGCTAAAATTATTCTAATTGGGGACAAAAAATGCATTGTAAGCAATCTTGCTTTAAGACACTGTATGCTATCTTGTTCTGATTACGTGGCATTTGACAAATTTATGAATTTAATATTTTAAGTTTTATTACAAGTTTATCTACTTAGAAACTGAAAACCTATGCATGTAATAAATCATTACGATAAAAATAACATACTGACAAAATTAATTATTGTTACATCACAGACAATTTTGCAAAAGCGAGTTTCATAACTTTCTTCAGCCTTTTCCTATTTATATACAATTTTTCATTGCGTTTTTTAAAGTTAAACAGAGCAAGAAAGATATTAGTTTTATCGCTTGCACACGTAAGGTTTTTCCTACTTTTTGTGTTAGATGTGCCACTATTATTCAATTAAAGTATGCATGTATGTTAAATTTTATTCTTCATAGATTTAAAAAACTTTTATTAGAGCATGCTAAAAAATGTGCCATTATAAAAAGTTTATTCTGTATATTTATTTATTATAATTTTTTTGTTATTGAAACACAATTTTCAAAATGAATTTGTTTACTATCAACAAAGAAATATTGATAAAATATTTACAACACATGCTTTTAATTTAAAATAATAAATATAGTAATAAAATGTAAAATGTAATATCATAATATAAATGCTAAAAAATATAATTAGAAATTACAAACAAACAAAACTGTAATAAATAAAAAAAGATATATACTTTGAAATTGGTAAAATATAAATGGGTAATTATTGTTTGAAATTAGTGAAATATAAATGTTATTTGTAAAATAATAATGAATATAAAGTGATTAATAAATGAGATTATTATTAGAAACTTAAATATTGGAATAATAAATATATAAACGAATAACATATATATACAAATGAATAAAATGACATAAAATTTTAAGTTATTTTTAATATACTCAAAACTATATTATGTTTTTACCTATTTCATTGTTTTTTTACTTTTCACCTTATCAATAAACCATAGCAGTTGTTGTTAAAAAAAAAAATTAAGCCAAAGTATTATTCATTTGCTATACATGAAAAAAATTAATAAAATAAAGTATCGCTATGACACTGTAATCGGATTTAAATCTTTTGTTTCATGTTATGTGTATCTTAAGTATTTTAAGTATAAAATGACGTTTTATTTGATAATATCAAATAAAGTAGAGCATTTTATATAATAACTGCAATTAAAACGTTAAAAATATTTAATGTTGCAACAACAAAAAACCCAGAAGTTATAAATACTTAAAAATGACCAACCAATAAAAATGAAAATTACTCTTAAAACCATCACAAAAATTTGTTCCATACGTGGTTTTTAGAGTGTTCAATCAATTCTCTTTAGGAGGACATGTGTGACTTTTTCCTGTAGTCCTCCGTCTACTTCTCTGAGACAAAAGTTTAATAAACGCTTTTCATTTACAAGTTACTTTCACTAATATGTTTACAAGCTATTTTGTACAAATTCAATTCAATAGAGAAGATAAGTAATATATTATCTAAAGTATGTACTAAGATCTTCACAACAAAATATAACTTTAGTAATAAATTCTAAAAGCATACTAAAAAAGCATACTAAAAAAACTAAAAGCAAACATCCAAAACACATTACACAATAAAAAATATCTTCAAGAATAATTAGTTAACCAGCACCTTTGGTTAATCCAATAAAAACATAACATTTCAGTAAGAAGCCCATTTAACAACATAACATATAAAACATAAATATTTTGACAATAAATTAAATTGTTTTAAAAAACTCTTGTAAAATGCAATATTTACAGCAGGCATATACTTGAACATATTTTGCAGGACATTGGCTTTATCATTTGAAATTTGAGCACCCTGATTCAAGGCAGAAAACATTAGTACCACTGTCATGAATAAGATTGTAGACTGTTAACTCATACTTTTGAAAAAACATTGTAACATGATTTTTTGTCGTATACATGATCTGAATGCAAGACTTTATTTATATATAGGGAACAAGTCTAAAATTAAAATAGCCTGCAATAGCTAAAAATGTTTGAAATCCAATTTTTTCATTTGATAGACAAAGAAAAAAAAATTTTTGAAGACCAGAAATTGCTCTGATTAAACCAAGGAGACATTTCAACAGGAGCGAATGCTCTTGTACACAAGAATTCTCTTGTCTTAAACTTTTATTAAATTGCTCTAATTTTGGGATAAAATATCACAAACCAAAAATCAAAAAATATATGAGTTCATTTTTTATCACTGATATTTTTTGTGCATTTAAATTTACAAGAATTTAACAGTCTTTTTTTTTTGGTTACAGACTAGCATGAAACATTTTCTCTCTTTCTATTTTTATACGGCTGATTAGATTGCTTTCTCACATTCTGTGTCCAAGTTTTAAGTGTTGACTTTCTTTTCCTAGTTTTTTCTCAACGTAGGAGCACACGACAAGCTGGTGCTACTTTAGGATTATCGTCATGATAACCAAAAACAGTCAAATTAATCTCTGAAAAAAATATATGTGTGTGTGTTTGTGTGAACAATAACATATTTTACCTTAAAAGTATTGTTGTTGTTTTTCTGTAATAAAAACATCCGCTACCATTTTGGCGTAAACAATTTTTAATTGAATAAAGCGGAGATTATAATTTTAATTTATAAACAGGATTAAGGAGATAGAACAAAATGAAATGTCAGGTATAGTAAGTTAATTTTTTTTTTTTTACTGATTTTTTTATAAAAAATACATATTTTAACCATAAAAAGAAAAAAATTGATCTAACTCAATTTTTTTTTGATTTGTGGAGATACAACAAAATAACCTCGCGAATAAATAGTTGCAATCAGTGGCGTAGGAAGGTTTTCAAATGTTTGAAATAACCAATTTATAAACAACAAGAATATTCAAAAATTTTTTACGTTTATATGTATGACGAAAAGATTCTTTAAAAAAAATAAGTAACTGAGATAAGAGAATGGGAACAAGAAACCCTAAAATCTTAGCACCACCCCTCCCTGCCCCAAACGTGAGAGCAACAAGTTGATGAAATATTTTATGTAATATTTTTAACTAGACTTATATTCATCGAGAAATTTTAAATTTATTAAATATTAAAATATTTTGGTGTTCAAAAATTATGACCACATAAAGTTTAAACCGCTCTCGATTTGAGGGGGTTGCAAGTTTTGCCCTTATAGATTTGCCCTTATAAATCAATACTTTCACCGAAAAATTCGATTTAATCTATTTTTAGTCCAAACAGTTTTGTCATAAGGAGCAACCTTATATTACAATCACAAGAGTTAAATAATTAATAATAAGCATTCTCAGTCAAAAAACTTTACAAATTTTAGCTCATTTTTTTTCGTATGACTAACTTGGTTTACTAATTAGTCATCTTACTACATTACTACCTTTAACCTTTTCATTGATCTGTTAAAGGATTTCGATACCGTTAATTATAATATACTAATAAAAAAAACTTTTAACTATGTAAAAAATGTAAAAAAATGACAATTTACTTTGGTTCAAAAGTTATTTGACCCAAGAAAACAATTTATAGTGTATGAACAAAAACAAACATTCCCGATTGCCGTAATTTGTGGGGCTCCCCAGTTCTCTATTTTAGGATCACTGTTGTTTCTAGTGTACATTAATGATTTAAATTTAGCAACAGACCTATTAAATTGTATTCTTTTTGCAGATGACCCTAATCTCTTTTATTCCCACAGAGATATTAATACACTATTTAAAACCACAAACGAACAATTATCGAAAGTTAATGAGTGGTTTATAAGTAATAAACTTTCTCTAAATATAGATAAAACCAAATTTATTTAGTTCCACAAAGTGGTTAAATCAAAAAATATTCCCATCAAATTTTAAATCTAATAATCAATTGCACTAACATTAAAAGAGAAAACTCAGTAAACTTTCTATATGTAAATGTTCATATAAGTCTTATATGAACATTTACATTGGAGTTTAAATATAAAAAGTATTGAAAACAAAATATCAAAAAATTTAGCAATGATATGTAAGACTAAACCATTTTTAAACAATAATTCTTTAAAAAGTTTATATTTCTCTTATATTCTTGTTATTTAATTTATTGCAATATTGCATGGGCAAGTACAAACCATACAAAATTAAAAAAATTGTACTGTAAACAAAAACACGCTACTGTGTACCAAAACCATGATCAACCTTAAACTCGTGTCCCCAGAAAACCCTTTTGGGTGATGATAGCCCATATATAGTAAAACATTAAGATATAAATTTGGAAATCAAAGTATTACGTACAAGAAAGATATTTTGACTTTAAATTTTGAAGCTAATAGGCCTAAAAAATTGCAAAATGACATGTGATTTTGCATATTTACAGCATTTATTATTCTTTTTTAAAAGTCATTTTATAGTTGTGACAACAAAAGAAACATTCTTATGTATATAAAACAACATTTCTGAATGAAAATGTCAAATCGGGAAATAATTCTTTAAGATTACAGTATTCTTAAATTTGGTTTGAAAAATACTCTTTCAACTAAAATGAATGCTTGCTGTTGAGGTCTACAAGTAGTCTACAACTAGTATTTTGTAGCGGGATAGCTCAGATGGTTAGAGCGTTAAAGGAAAAGTTAAAACCCGGACTGTTGAACGATACGAGTTCAAATCCCGCCACCGCCAACTCAGCACTTGAGTAGTACTTCGGTACGCAAAAATGTTGGTCAATAACGGACGCTACTTTGGATTAGTCGTAATGACTATTTGTGGCTGTTCCTATGCTAAGCAAACAATATCTTCGGATATTAAAACATTGTATAGAAAAATATAGCAAGAAAACCAAATAAATAAAAAAATAAAAAATAAAAAAAATACAACACAATTCAGAAGCTTCTTTTATATTCTGGATGATTGGGATCGCGTTTGTATTGTTGCCAATGTACATTGAAGTTGTGATGCAAAGATTTTGTGGTGAGTTCAGAAAATACTCCAAGGACTTGTGGCGGTCAATAAAATGCTTCACATGAAAAAATACTGCGTGCATCTTTGGAATAATGGAGGTGTTTGGCAACTTAAAGAAAGAACTCTGAAACTCCTTGATCTTGTCTGCCAAGTTAGGAGAAAGATTATTTCCAAAGCAAGAATTTACAGCCCTTTCAAAACATCTGAATATTTCAACATAAGACATGACATTTTGTAGAGCATCTGTATGCTTCAATAGCTTTTGACAATCATTTCCAGAAAATAATATATGTCTATTTTCTGATAAAGTTGTTATTAAGTAAAAAATATTTTTTTTTATCTTTTTTTTTATATTGAAATTAAATTTCTTTATATTTTTAAGTTTTCGAAAAAGAACAAATCAATTGCACATTTATTTCACCCAAAATACATTGTTGTTAATACAACTGCTCATACTCACGAAATGCTACCAAGTTAAGAAAAAAAAATTGCAAATAATTAAGTTGACAATATCACTAAAAACTTTGGGTTATTGGCTCATATTCCAATCTAGCCTTCATGAAAAGGCTATTCCTGAATACGAAGAACAGCAGGTCATTAATTAGTATCAGGCCATGTTTTACACAAGTTTTTGTATTGATGATTTATTACTCTAAGAAGAAGGTGTAGCTCCGTTGGAGGGATAAAGTCCAATAAGAGTGTTTGATTGTCCGAGCAAATAATTGGTTTGTGAAAAATATTGTTGAACTCTTTTACACTTCTCAAAATAGACCCACTCCTTTGAAATGTATTAAAGTCTCCACCATCAATTCCCACTTTGATCAATGGTTCTTCAGGAATATTTCTGAATTTTGAAACATGGTTGACTATATCAGACACATCTTTGCACTGAACAACAATTCTGGTTGAATCTTTCTTTGTACAATTATGGGGCAGCCTTTGCCCAATCATAAAAAAACAGTCTGAACATCTTTTTTCAATGTTTCCTTCTTTTTTAGGTTTACTTGCGTAGTGGATGAGGAATGCTCAGCTTATTTCTGGCAATTTGACAGATCAAATAGTTACAAGGAGATTCTTTGGTAGCTGGCCGAACTGAGATGCTATTAAAATTGTAAAGGCTAAAAAGAGGAGGATTTTCACCATTATCTTTTCTTCTGATGGCAACATGACAGCTAGACTTTGAAAATTTTTTGCACTTTTTTAATCAGAAAAGTTGTAGCTCACGATTTCCCTTCTGAAGGCATAAAAAACAAACAGCTTTTCTATTCTAGTTGTGGTCTTTGGCTTTGTTAAGCATTTTTGCAACTTATATGTTCAAGTGTGTTGTAAAAATTGTTTTTTTACAACAAACCAGGGCACAGGACGTAAAAAAGACGTCCTTAGGACGTTCAATCGCGTCTGTCCGTCCCATTAAAAGTCTTTTGAACGTCTTTTTCGCGTCCAATAACACTGAATAACAACCCAAAAATATCTTGTTTGATGATTACATTTTCTAAAGCAGTTTTTCATGCTGATTACAAATCTGAAAACCGTTTTTCTCTATCACGTCAGGTTTTTAAGATATTAACTTAAACATACATTTTTTAATCCCTTATTGTTACGAATGAATAAGAAAATAGAGTTTAGTTTACTAAGTTAATAACAGATGGCAACACTAAACATATTCTTTTGATATTTTAAATTGTAATATTCTGTTCTGAAAATAGGTCTTTAGTGTACTTAATTTGTAACTGTATGTTTATTAATGAGTTGTGTGTTTATTATGAGTTATACTATTCCTATATATTTGCTATTTTTTTTCAGTGAAAACAATGGCGTCTAGAGGCTGCATCAATTCACCAGACTTGTTTTGTTATGTATCTCACAGACAAAGGCCACCGAAAGACATTTACACCATTTCTGAGAAAAGCTTATGAACTATACTTTGATTCAAAGGTTGACAGCGGCAAGTCATGGGCACCACAGTTCATTTGTTTGACATGTGCATGCAACTTACGGGGTTGGATAAGGAATGCTAAAAATAACAACCATCTGGCATTTGGAGTTCCTATGATATGGCGTGAGTCAAGCAACCACATCACTGACTGTTATTTCTGTTTGACAAATGTCACAGGTTTCTCATACAAGACTCGTTCATCTGTGAAGTATCCAGATATTCCCTCGGTTTCAAAACCAATTCTACATGATCCAGCCAGTTGTCCAATACCAACATCACTTACAGAATACAGAGTCGATGATGCAACACAAGAAGAAAGTTCGTCTTCCAGCAACATGGCAGACTCTGACTACAATCCTGATGATGATGAAATTCATTTGATTAATAATGATGATCTTTGCGACCTTGTACGGGACCTGGCACTAACAAAAGGTCAAGCTGAACTGCTAGGTTCACGTCTGAAAGAGTTTAATTTGCTATCACCAGGTACAAGAACTTCACAATTTCGACATAGACACAAAGAACTCGTGCAGTTCTTTGCAATGAGTGACAATATGTGCTACTGCACTGACATCCAAGGTCTTATGTCAAGCCTCGGTGTAGAACATAAGACTGAAGCATGGCGTCTATTTATTGATTCCTCCAAGGCAAGTTTGAAGGCTGTATTATTACACAATGGAAACATGTATGCATCAGTACCGGTTGGTTATTCTACTCATCTAAAAGAGACGTACGAAACCATGTCGCTACTTCTTGAAAAAATTTGCTATCGCGATTACAATTGGAATATGTGTGGAGATTTAAAAGTGATCACTATTCTCATGGGAATGCAGACAGGGTACACCAAGTACTGCTGCTTTATCTGCGAGTGGGACAGCAGAGATAGGAAGCACCACTATATAAATAAGAATTGGCCCATTAGAGATAAAATGGAGCCAGGTAGTAAAAACGTCCTGCATGTGCCATTGGTCGAGCGTGAAAAAGTTCTTATGCCTCCACTTCATATAAAGCTGGGGCTCATGAAAAACTTCGTGAAGGCATTAGACAAAAACTCAGATGCTTTTCGGTACCTATGCAACAAGTTTCCAGAGTTGAGTTATGCGAAAGTGAAAGAAGGTGTATTCATAGGTCCACAAATAAGGAAGATCATAGCAGACAGTCACTTCGAAGATTTACTCAGCAGAACTGAAAAAAAAGCATGGTTGGCATTTAAGTCTGTTGTAGCCAATTTCCTTGGAAATAATAAATCTCCTGACTATGTAAATATTGTGCAGAAGTGCATAAGTGCGTACAAGTTAATGGGTTGTAACATGTTCCTCAAGATTCATCTCCTCGACTCACATCTCGACTTCTTTCCAGAAAATCTAGGTTCTGTTAGTGATGAACATAGTGAACGTTTCCATCAGGACATCTCGGTGATGGAGTCACGCTATCAAGGCCGATGGAGTGCAGCAATGTTAGCCGACTATTGCTGGATGCTTCAGCGCAACATGCCAAATTGTCAGCACAAACGCAAGTCTACAGCCAAGAAATTCAAACCAAACTAACTTTTAATTTAAGGAACTTTACGTTATACCTATGTATTTTACAAGTGTATTATATTTTAAACTATGTGTATTTATGTTAAGTAGTACTCTATTCAGCGATATATGCTCTACTGTAACTTGCCTGCGAGTTGTTTGCTTTGATACAATATTAAACATAAATAAATGGTCAATGCCAAATAACTCAACAACGGTGGGTGATAGAGACAAACGGTTTCTATATTTGTAATCAGCATGTCTTACTTGTCTTAAAACAAGTGTTGGTTTCCAAGATATTTTCCGAAAATTTTTTTTTGTTATTCAGTGTAATTTATTCGTCCAAAAAATATCCAGAATGCTTTATTAAATAAAAAAAAAATCAGTTAAATCACGCAAGCGCTAAAACTTCTTAAAATTTTTAAGTAAAGCAGTTTTAACCCAGCAAACAAAAAGATATCTAAAATGCATCTAATATGCATCTAAAAACTGATCTAAAAGATGTCTAAATTCAGGTCTAGAACGGGACTTAAATAGACGTCTATCTTATAGACGTCTTTTAGATGCATTTTATTCGACACAAATAATTGCCTTAGATGCATAAAAGATGTGAAATATACATCTTACAGATGCATATTAGATGTATAAAATACGTCTCTTAATAAGATGCCTGAGGCGCGTTTAAAAAAGATAGATAATAGATAATTTTTTAGTTAATAATAGCTCTTTTATGCATCTAATATACATCTTTAAAGGTATATTTCACATCTTTTATGCATCTAAGGCATTTATTTGTGTCGAATAAAATGCATCTAAAAGACATCTATAATATAGACATCTATTTATGTCCCGTTCACGACGTGAATTTAGACGTCTTTTAGACCAGTTTTTAGATGCATTTTAGATACCTCTTTCTTTGCTGGGACTTGTTTGATACAAAGGTGTTACAGCGGTTAAATTAGTCATAAAAAAGGATTAAATTAAATAAGTAAAGAAACATTTTAACTAACATTACTTACTTTTTATTTCACAAAAATATACATAAGAAACTATATTTCTGCATTGCCGTCAACATTTTCTTCCACGTCGCCGATATCTAAAATATATACATTAATGACATTTAAATGACTTTAAAAGACATGTAGAATTCTGAATCTATTTTTATGAAATACTATATATATATATATATATATATATATATATATATATATATATATATATATATATATATATAATATATATATATATATTAATAAGATGCCTGAGGCGCGTTTAAAAAAGATAGATATATTTTATAATAGATAATTTTTTAGTTAATAATAGCTCTTATTTTGGAAAACCTACTTTTTAAATCAGCTAATACTTTATCCTGTAAAAGGCTACGATACTAAAGAATTTTGCTTAACTACTAAAGATAAAATGCTACACACATAATTTATTGGATCACAATATTATAAGTAATCCATTTCTATTCTTTTATACCTATCTTTTACAATTATTTTAATACAAATACAAATTAATAAAAAAGACCTCCACATTAACATTCAGTGGTGTAAAAACCAAAATTACTCACATTAAAACTTAAAACTCTTTGACAATTTGAACTTTGCTTGGTGTTCATCAATAAAATGTGAAGAAAAATTATCTTCTTCAATCTTTGAATCTGATAACAACTCTATTCAAAAGAAATAATTATAATTAGAACTATAAATAATCCCTCAACCATACCTGTTACTTAATTTAATCTTTCAACCAATTTTGTACTCTTTCAATTTCTGAATTCAAACAACTTCAGCATGCTTTCAATCAATTTTCAATTTTCATATCAAGTTGATTAAAGGATTATTTAATACAATAGAATGTTTTCAATGATATAAATATATGTAACCAATTTAACAACATTACATATAATAGGACACCCAAATAGTTAAAATAAAAGGAAAATCTTAGTAATACATAAAAAAGACTAATAGCTAGATAGATATTATTCTGATCAAATTAAACAAGAATCTATTTCAGTTTATAAACCATTAAGAAAAAATTATGATATTTATGTTATACTTTTAGCATTGGGCTTATTCATAATAGGTGGCGGAGGTTCTGGCAATGAAGAGCGGTATGATTTGTTATTCTTATTTTTAATGCTTTCTTTAACATATATCTCATCTGATGTAGAAAGTTGTATTCTTCACAACATGAAAATGAATCTAATTATAAAACATTTTGCTACAAAAAAGTAATTAAGTTACCTTTAAAAAAAATACAAAACAAGTTAGATACTGACGATCTGTTATCTTACACTTTATCAATGGAAATTTGTGCCATTCTTTTGTTGACAAAAGGTTGTTTTTCAGTGCATGATTATAGTTTTTTTTTGGGACAATAAATTTGTTGGTATTCTTTGTCAATTCACTTGTTTAGTGCATAATTACTTGGTTAGAAAAACATGCAGAAAAACTTTCCTTCAAAGTTGGGCTATGCTTATATAAGCATATATATTATATATGATAAATATGCTTATATAAGCATATATATCATTATATGAGTATAATATTACTCATTAGGCTTTTGGTCATAAGAGTATTCATTGTACAAAATCGATGACTTATGATGGTCAAAATATTCTTTTAGATTTTCGCAAGATAAGAAATCATTTCTTTTAGAAGTTCTAACATTCGATTTTTTTTCTATATGTACTGATGAAAATTCTAGTATTTTTTAATATTCTTTTTGGACATGTCTACTGCGTCTCTTTTCGTATGCCCTTTTTGTAAAAGACATAAATGAATCTTGGTTTCTCGATAAAAACGATAAGTGCACAACCAATAAAACAATCTTGTGTGTTATTGAAAAACACTCATATTATCATAACAATTGTGTAATTGAAAAACACTCATAATAACTATGAGTGTTTTTCAATTACACAAAAGATTGTTTTATTGGTTGTGCACTTATCGTTTTTATCGAGAAACCAAGATTCATATATGAGTCATATATATATATATATATATATATATATATATATATATATATATATATATATATATATATATATATATATATATATATATATATATATATATATATATATATATATATATATATATATATATATATATATATATATATATATATATATATATATATATATATATGTATATATATATATATATATATATATATATATATATATATATATATATATATATATATATATATATATATATATATATATATTTTAATTACATTATCTTTTATTCTAGAAATAAAAATATCAACTTGAAAATATTAATTTTGTAATATTTCTGCAAAATAATTTTCAAATCACAAGGATTTTAGCAAACATGCTAAGCATCAAATCATCGAAATAATTTGTGAACTATAATAGCATGTTTTTTTATTATTTAAAATTTATCAAAAGAAACAATCATTAATGTTTTCCATAGGTTAAAATCTTCATGCTTTTTTCGTAATAAGTTTAAGCATGGTTTTTAAATGGCGGACATTTATAATTGTAGCTCCGTAAAATTAGTTCATATTTTTTTCTTGTTTTTATAACAAATCTATATAAGACATCTTATAGACATCTAAGTTTAGATGAAAAAAAAATTATCTATGCACGATCTATTTTATGCATCTAATATGCATCTAAAACAGAGCAAAAATAGTATCTCTAGAATCAGACGTCTTTTTGATCTCTAATATACGTCTAAAATATACGTATCGGAAATAGATACAAATTAGACCAATTTTAGACGGTCTAAAAGACGTCTATTGTTTGCTGGGAATAAAGTTCTTTTCAATTACAAAAAAAGTCTTTTTACAACGACTAATAGACACGTTCTACCTAATTTTTGTTTTTGTTATCAATTACTTGAAAATTGTGGTAATATTGATACAGGTAATGAAATTTTTACAGTTAATGAAAGAAACGGTTTAAAACTGAATATATGCTATACTATGTATATATACTTGATATGCTATTAGTATAGTATTGCTATATCAAGAACCAAGTTCTAACAATTTCAAAGATTTAGACATCTCATGCAGAATCGAATTTTTTTAATAGGAAAACCTGTTAATGATACATGGAACAATTATCATGATAATTCTTTGAATTCAATGTCTTTACTCGACAGCATTAAGCTATTCAATTATGGAACTAGTACATTAGTTAATGATCTTCTTGAAATATTGCCAAAGCAAGGTTTGGAACTTCCCAAAGATTCAAGGAGAATTTTAAAAACACCTAATGAAAAGCGACTTATAGACAGGTTCTTGCTAATTTATATATATTTTTTTAAACATTTAATTACTTGAGAATGGTATTAAAATTGATACATATATTGAAATTAATACAGATATTGAAATAAATAGTTAAAAACTGGGTATATGATATACTATATATACAGTACCGAACTTAATTAACTGGGCCAGTCACATTTTTATGCAAAGAAGACACAATCTTGAATAATACTGATTTAATTATTTACAGATAGCAATAGTATTATATAATAATGTACAAAATATGTAAATATAACAATATAACAAAGAAATTCAGTCATTGAAAGAAAAAAATCTAATATTTTGTACTTCGACCCTTGACCCTCAATAATTCCCTCAAGAAACGCGGCATTGACCGTACCAGATTCTGGAGAGTGTCACGTGATATATTATTCCAGACATTGGAAATCATGTGCCACAATTCATCCAAATTACTTAGCTTTCTGTTTTGCACCTTTTTGAATAGCACTTCCCACAAATTCTCAATCGGGTTCATGTCCGGACTCTGGGCCGGCCAAGTCATCGTTGTGACACCTTTAGACCTGAGAAATGTGGTCACAGTCTTTGCTGTGTGACAAGGTGCATTGTTATGTTGGAAAATATACTGCTGACCATCATAAAGCTTTGCAGCAGATGGCAACATAGCTGATTCCAACAACTCTTTGTATCGGTTTAGGTTAAGAGTACCTTCGATACGCCGAAGTTCTCCCGTCCCGAAACCATTCATGCAACCCCATACCATTATTGACCCACCCCCATGTTTTACTGTTGGCAGAATACAGTCAGCATTAAATCTCTCCCCTGGCCTCCTTCTCACAAAGGCACGCTTTGCAGCACAGAACAACTCAAACGGGCTCTCGTCTGACCATAACACTCGGCTCCAGTCATCGGCCGCCCAATCCTTATGAGCTTTCGCCCATTCCAGTCTGCTGCGACGATTCTTCTCGGACAGAAGTGGTTTCTTTGCTGCTACACAACCACGCAGATTAGCTACCCGCAGTCTCTTACGCACAGTATGGCTGGTTACGTCAACTCCGTAGTTCTCGTTCCATGCCTTTTTCAGCTCCGGCGAAGTCAACCATCGGTTACGCTTTGACATGCGGATGAGTTGCCTATCCTCTCGCTCAGTGGTAGCTCGCTTCCTCCCTCTTCCAGCTAAATCCTCAACACTGCCGGTATTCTTATGCTTTATTACCAATGAATCAACGGTTTTCCGGTTAATTTTCAGGTCTGTAGCGATCTGGCGATGCGAATGACCTTGCTCGGCCAGCAAGACTACCCTCATCCGCGTCTCCATACTTAACCTCTTAGCTCCAGCCATTCTCTAAAAAGATAAAATATACCATTTTAACTTGACTTTTATACAAATTCTGCTTTATTTGACACAATATTACATATTAGAAGCATTGCTGACTTTAAATTTAATTTTAAATTATTTTGTTTCAATTTATCTTATTTTTTCTTATAAAATACCAAAAAATTAAAATAAATAATGAATATTTATTGTTTTTTCAACTTTTTTGGATGAAACTACCTGTATGCATATTTGGATAACTTGTATTATCACTCAAATTAATATAACAATAACATAATTTCCTTTTATTTCATATTATTCAAACACATGAAAATCATAAATTTACTAAATTTTACACCAAGTACACAAATAATACTACTAAATATCTACTAACCTCTTAGAAATATTTATTTAATTTTACAAATCAACTTCAATGTTATTATTATCACTTTTCAAAAGGTTTGCCTAACTTCCAAAAGTCAATTAATCAAACAATATGGACTGAAAGTCATAACTTTGTATGAGAATCAGCTGGCCCAGTTAATTAAGTTCGGTACTGTATATATAAATTAAGTATATACTCGACACTTGATATAGTATTTCAAGTATAATAATTGATATACTATATCAAGAACCAAGTTCTGACTGTTTGAAAGACTTAGACATCGCAGAATCTTATGCATAGTCATATTTTTCAAAAGGAAAACCTATTAATAATACAGAGAGTTTATGCTGATAATTCAATATAATTCAATATCTTTAATTAACAACTTTTAGATTGTTCTATTCGAAATAATTGGACCAGTACATTAGTTAATGAACTTTTTGAAATATTACAATATCAAGTTTTAGAACTTCGCTAACAACCAATTACTTAACTTTAGTAATTAGTTATTAGTGAAGTTCAAAAGTTTTGACTAAAAAATAAGTCTAATTGAAAAAATTAAACCAGTCGTAACAGCTATATAAGAGACAGGAGGGTAGAAAATTTCCTTTACTCTAAAGAAAATTTTCTACCTACCTGTCTCTTATACATATACGTATTACTTGTTTAATTTTTTTAATTAGACATTTTTTAGTGGCTTATCCTACTCTTTTATCTGATTATCTAAAAGTATCCTTTAGAAGATGTAAATAGTTTTTCTCTTTTATCATTCTTTAAAAGTTCAATATGAATAATTTTGATTAAAATCAATATTTATATTTATTATTTGATAAAATTTAAATTTTAGTAACTTATCCAAGTTAAATAAGAATAAGAAAAATATATTTAAAGATGGAATTGATTTAATATTTATTTGAAATGATTTTTTTATAATGATATTTTGAAAATTTATGGTTTTAGTTTTGTTATTTAGTAAAAAAAAATATAACACAGCAAAAACATTTAAATCAGAATTTCAGTGGAGCTATATAGGCATTTTAGGTCATTGCAGTTTTGGTCATCCTTTACTTAATGGCCTATTAGTGGCAGCAGCCAAAAGTGCCTAACATATGAATAACCACTATATCACGTGTTGGAATGTTATTGGCAATTTACTAAGTAACCGATGAGAAACTCTCCTTAATTTCTCCTCTTTTTTATCATCTAGGAAATTTTATTAAAGTAAATGGATTAAACTTATTAATAAAGAAATTATAAAGTCCTTTGATTGATTGCAAACCTATATTTCTATTGTATATATATATATATATATATATATATATATATATATATATATATATATATACACACACACACACACACACACACACACACACACACACACACACACACACACACACACACACACACACACAACCCTTGAAATTAAGAAAAAAAAGTTTGGCAATAATTTGTCGACATCAATCAAAAAAAGGAAAAAAAAAGTGATTCAAAGCTCTTACCATT